GACGGTATCGAGGCGAGGAATATTGGAAGAACCTTACAATTTTTTAATAAAGCGGCGACGAATCCGTCCGCGATATTGAATAATGTAACGTTTCTGAATAAAGCAGCAACGTTAGGAATGACCTAACGAATTTTTAATTTTTCCAGCATATTCGCAAAAAGCTTCAAGTTTAAAGTCTTCGTTGCATTAATATTTGAAAGTTTAAAATCTCCCCTGAAAATCGATATTTCAAAGCTGCATTATTAATCGCAGCTTTGAGAGAGAGAGAGAGAGAGAGAAGCGATCATATTAACAGTTAATTTAAATGCAAGATAATTATATACGGGAACTATCTTATTATCTTAATTATTATCTTATCAATTATTTTCATTATTATTTATTCCCTGTTATCTCAATTTTTAATTATTTTTAAAAATTTTAATAGCCATTTAAAATTTTAATTCTTAAGATTGAATACATAATTTTAACAATTTCAATCCCATCTCTTAATCTCCCTTGATCCTTGTTTTATTATTGTAATTGCAATTTAAACGAAATTACACGAAATTGATAACTAATAAATAACGACGATCTGGATTGGAGAAAAATCTCGGAAAACGATGCGAAAACGACAATCGTGATGAACGTCGTTGATGAACGACGAGTCGCTTCCGCGCGAATACCGGCGGCTTTAGAGATACGGTTTCTGCGACTTCGCGCAAACGACGATTGTGCATTTCTCACTTTCTTTCTTTCGCGCAAACCGTTCCATTAATCGCTCCATATCCATTTGCTGAAAGAGAAGACCGGCTTGAGAGCAGGTCGTCCGCTTTTCCTCCTATCTCACGCCGACTTCTTTCGCCGGAGAGCGGATTTTATAACGGCGCATCCCCGCGCCGTTCGTACTTGGCGTATATCTCGCACGATGTACTCTCGCGTACTACTCGCGTTATAATATCGTCGAACGAAAGTAAAAACTTTCATTCGCGGTGCCGCTGCCTGATGTGCGTGCGTGCTTCCTAGGAAGAAGATCCCCCCGGCGACGGTTACGTATTCGGTCGCGTATGCGCAGCCCGTGTACCAAACCAGAATATCGCGGCTTTTACGAGACGCTTGGATAACTCGCTCGACGTATACTTTCGACATGTGTTGCACGCTTATTCCGTATTCCGTCGGCGACGTTTATCGGCGTCTTAAATCATCGAGAAATATCACCCGCTGTATAATTACAGCGCTAGACTGATGCGACTCCGTGTATCTCGGATAGGTAATCTGAAGCCGTGGTATATTTCATCTCGACACACATTACAGTTCCGTTCTATGTAACGTTGTATCGCGATATGTTTTTTTCTCTTCTGAGTAAAGACGGGATATCTACTCCCCGGAAAAGTCTGGGAAATCTGGAATTTCGAAGGGACCGTTTCACTTTTGTGGAATTTTATTGCAACTCAAAAGGAATTTTTTGAAATTTTATCTCTAAATTTAAATTTTTACTTCTTTTAACAAAATGTTAAATAATTTTATTTCTTATACATGTTGTTGATAATCCTCCAAACATTCAAGTTAACCAAAGGACATATCCAAAGGCATACATTGCGAGTGTACATGTATATAATTTGCAAGTTTTTGTAAAGAAAGTTTAATGTCTCTTTAGGGTTTAATGTCTCTTAAGCTAAAGCGTTAAGCTGCCTTCTGTCGTGACTAGAAATTGTTAAAAAGCGCCCACGTTAAAAGAAACTTATTTCAAAGTTGTATTCAAGATTTCAATTTCATTTTATCTGGAATTTTGAACAAAAATCTCTGAAAAATTCAGGAATTTTCGGAGAATATTTTTATAACATTTGCGTAAACCCTCTGAAAGAAGACGATAATAATAGATATCGTTAATGGACTATGGAATATATTCCACTTTTATATTTTATACGTTGCTTTCTGCTCGCATTTGCGCGCATCTACAAACGTTAGATTATGATAATATGGGATTATGGGATCCCTGAACTGCCTCCGAGAATATGTAATGTAGTAATATCTGATCTGGTATTTTCACATGTATATCAATTTGCACATGAACTCTGCACGTGAACTCTGTATAAGTAGAATGAATGCGCGCATCCGTGATGCAGAAATTATTATTCCGTGAATCTTTTTTGTTACGGTCGTCTTATGGGATCCTTTATAATCCCGTAGACTTTTGTAGACGGCAAGTTCGAATGGAGGCTGACCGGTTGTTGCCCTACATCGCTTCAATTTTCTTTTGTTCTCTAATGTAGCTCGTCGAGACTCCCCCGGGGTTTCCTGCCCAGGGAATTTGATTGATTTGCTACGATTTCTGTAGAATTCCGACGGAGCCCGCCGACGCTGTCGGAAATATCTTCCCGAATAGATATAGATGTTTGAGGACCAAAAAGAGAGAAGATTAGCTTTTGGTCGGTGAAAGTGCGTCATTACGATACTCGTCGTGATCGTGTCGTACTTTGTACTTTGCTTAAATTGCATTGGAAATGAGATGCCCATCTGACGATTTCCACGGTAATTACGAGGTCTCCCGGCAACGAAAACTCCAGGCGGCAAGACCATTGTGGCGATTGCGGTGACAGAAAGAAAGCAGAATTATTACGAATGATTTCACATTTCCTACAATTCCGCGTTAATCGGAAGTTATTTCGCGAAGTTGAATGTTAATAAGATTGTAAATTGACTCCCGATTGAACATAAACGAAAAATGATAAAATGATTCTGTGATACATTTTATCTACGTACTGAAATTCGTGTGAAGTTATTGACGCATATTTATATTACTTGTTAAAAACACTGTTATTAAAATTATTATTTTTAATCTTTAACATTACGCTTTATGCAGTTAGTTAATTAATATTTTTAATTATATAGCTTTGTTAAAGATTTATTTTTAATAAAGGTAAAGAAATTAAT